CTGTCACTGAGTGCAGTGGAATTTATTTATTTATTCGATTTATACCCCAGCCTCCCTGCCAAAGATTACTCTCTGAAGTACTGATCCTGGATTTACACTGGAATTCATATGACGAAATACAAAACCATTTTCTCCATACAGAAAACTAGAACATCTTCACATCTGTCCAGCACCCCCCCCCCAAACTAAATGCGAGATATGCCATCTTGTACTCAAAATGTCTTCAAATATTTATGTTTGAATGTTACTATGGAATTTTTATGGTTTTAATTGGTTTTATAATGTATCAAATTTTTATTGTAAACCACCCTGAGCCCCGCGTAAGGAGAGAAGGGTGGTCAAGAAATCGAAATAAATAAATAAATAAACTGGAAGATTTGGTCCTCTCTTTGACAGCTAGCTTTCTGTGTGGAGGGATTATTGTTGTTGCTGTTGTTATTATTATTAAGCATTCAGCTATGCGAATACCACTTACTGTCTGAAGTTTTATTTAGATGTAGGTTTATTATCTCTGTGAGGCAGGGTTGCCAAATCCGCATTACAGTATTCCTGGAGATTTGCGGGTGGAGCCTGGGGCACTTTATCAAGGTATAATACCGTACAGCCTACACTCCAATGCTGCCATTTCCCCAAGGAGAACTAATCTATGTAGTCTGGAGATCAATCACAATTCTGGAAGACCTCCAGACCCCACATGGTTGCTGGTAACCCCACTGTGAGGGTTCAAGTACAGTGAGATATGATTGAATCACCATTTTTAAAAAAAATGCTAACTACAGTTAGAGGGGAGGGAGATTTGGATTGGATTAAACCTCCTGCCTCCAGCTCTGTTTTCCCCAATACAAACTGCTCTCCCAAGTTGATTTTTGCTCTATCGGGCAAAACATACAGACACCGATCACAGAACTCCCAGTATTTCATCAGTCTGCACTGTCCCTGCATTGCTGGAATAAATGGATTAAACCAGGAACAGTATGTGATATGTACTGCTGAGCCTGCCAAATTGCTCTTTTCAGTCCCATATGTCAAAGGAAAGACACTGGGATTTGAGATATATGAATATGCTGTAACGTATCAGAGAAAGAATACTGTAAGAGTAGCTAAGAGGAAATGACAGAAAGGAAAAAAAGGATTAAAGTAGACAAAATAGGCTCATAACTATGCAAAGAGAGTTAGAAATGTCTTGTATTCAACTCTTGCTGCTGGTTTTTCCATGCTACAACTGAAGTATGACTGGAAAAGCGTGGGAATGCATTTGCTGTACTTGTATGTACAACATTCTATTTATGGATAAAAATGATTTCAGCCTTCAGCATTTCCACAGTCTTTCATATTCTATGAACCTTAAATTTTTCATTTTTAACTTTTAAAACAATAAAAAAGCACTAAGATTTATTAGCCCAAGTAGGAATATTCCTGATGAAAAAGCAATAAATCACCTAGCTTGGCCTGGAACTTATACTTCTCAGCTACAAATTGCTATCTTTATCTCTTAAACTACTTATGCCAGCTCACTAAAACCTGGCTAATATCCAGTGGGGAAAAATGCACCGTTTAAATGACTTTTATTAAGAGACTTCCTAATGCAGCAAATGCACACATAAACCGTAGAAATTGAGCAGAAGATTATTTCTGATAGATACTTTATGATAGATTATTTATAGATTATATCTATAGATAGATATTTATGATTATATCTATAGAGAGGTATTTATGACAGATTATTTATGATAGATACTTTTCAGTTAAACTTTAGGCTGGTCTTCATTTTTGAAGTGGTAAAAATAGTTGTCATACATAAAAAAAAATCATTTTGTGTGCTTCTGATGATGAATTTAGGGGAGAAAATTTAGAACTTAAAAGTCTTAACTTACAGACCAAATTCTTCCAGCTCAAATTTGAACTCTGAAAATTTCCAACCTAAATCTATAGGTTGTTTAATTACCACACAAACTTTGTGCTATATTTTTTCTGCAGTAAGTCCTATAACGTTATCTCACCCTAATTCATAGTATCAAAAATCACTACATAAACCCAATTGGAAAATCTATACATATGATGGTGGTGGAAAGTGCTATGAAGTCGCAGCCAACTTATGGTTACCCTCATGTGGTTTCATGGCAACAGGTGGTCTGCCAGTGCCTGTCTCTGTGTAGAGAACCTGGACTTCATTGGTGGTCCCCTGTCCAAGTACTAACCAGGGCCAACCCTACTTAGCTTCCCAGATCTGATAAGATCAGCCTAGCCTGGGCTATCCAGGTCAGGGCATGCATATATTATAAAAGTAACTAATTATCCCAAATTGTTGGATGACAACCACACATTGCTCACAAGACCCTGGGGAATGTAGGGTTTGTGAACAGACCACAGAAATATACATATTCTCCCTGCTCCTTTCTTATTGCTTGAAACTTGCTCCCATCATTCTGTATCCAGTTTCGTTAATGATTACTGAGTGAAAACCGGGTGTGCTCTTAAATTCACAGCTTTCACATCTCAGGTACAGGAAAGTAAAGGTAGTATGTACAACAAGGAAGATCCTGGGATGATAGTGCAAGCCATCTGACTTTTAAATCTTGAATCCTTTGTTCAGCTGAACTCACCTGGTGAAATGTGTACTGCTTCAGTGAGCATTAAAGATGCCACAACGTTGGGGTTTCTTTAAGAACACTGATATACACATTACTGCTATAAATTTAGAAGCATATTATTTGAGGTTGAATTTGGCACTTTTATATGCATTATACAGCCAATACTTCTCTCAGCATGACAATGAATGAATACAAGCACTTACACTGCATTATTAATTAGAGCCTACAGAATATTAAAATCTCTATTTCAAGCACATAAAGACATTTTTCATTTCATTGCCATAAACAAGTCACCATAACTGTTTTAATATACAAGTTCAAACAGAAACACAACACAAATTCCAGAAATTCCTGTTTGACAAATTGGCGCTGGATTCATTCCAGTCTGACTTCCGCCCCAGTTATAAGATGCAGACAGCTTTGGTCACTCTCACAGATGATCTCTGTGTACAGTTGGACCAAGGCAGGTCAACACTGTTGTTGTTGCTTAATCTTACAGCAGTGTTCGACATGGTCGATCATGATCTTTTGATGCACTGCCTTGCCGATGTAGGAGTGTGTGGGGTAGCCTTGAAGTGGCTTATCTCATTTCTCCAGTGTCGGGGACAGAGGCTGGCGCTAGCAGAGAGGTTGTCAACTAAGCACCCACTAGTATGTGGGGTTCCTCAGGGGGCAATTCTCTTTCCAATGTTATTGAACATCTATATGCACCCCCTCACCCAACTGGTGCAGTGTTTGGGGCTGGGCTGTCACCAGTATGCTGATGACACCCAGCTATACCTGTTGATGAGTGGGCGGCCACAGCCACAGCAAATCTGGATGAGGGCTTGGAGATTGTGGTGGGATGGCTGAAGCAGAGCCATCTGAGACTGAATCTGTCTAAGATGGAGGTTCTGTGGCTGGGGAGAGGCAACTTAGGGCTGGGGTGCTGTCTCCTGTCTCCTTGACACCTGCATCAACTGTCAAAAGCCTTGATGTGATTCTGGATGCCTCCTTATCAATGGAGTTCCAGATCACAAATGTTGCCAGGCTGGCATTTTTCCAGTTATGCCAGGTCAGGCAACTGGCTCCCTACCTGTCTCACCCCAACCTAGCCACTGTAATCCACACAACAGTCACCTCCAGACTGGACTACTGTAACTCGCTCCACAAAGGGCTATCCCCTTGAGTCTGACCTGGAAACACCAACTGATGCAGAATGCAGCAGTGTGAGTCCCCATAGTGACTCCACACATGGCACATATCCATCCTGTGCTCCGTGAACTGAACTGGCTTCTGGTGGAGTACCAGATCAGGTTCAAGGTTATGGTGCTAACTTTTAAGGCCCTTAATGGTCAGGGACCCACATATCTTTGGGACCCCCTTTCCTGGTACATCCCTTGAAGAGCATTACTCTCAGCTGATAAGAACCTGCTGGTGGTCCCCAGCCCGAGAGACACCGGCTGTCCTCGACCAGGGCCAGGGCATTCTCAGCCCTGGCCCCAACCTGGTGGAACGCTTTGTTGAATAATATTTGCGCCCTGTGGGACTTAATGCAGTTCCACAGGGCATGTGAGGCAGAGATGTTCTGCCAGGCATTTGGTTGAGGATGATGATGGCTTTCCATTTGACTGGCACCCTTGTTTCTCCTGCCTCCCCTCCCAGTGGCATACTCTGGCAGTTCCATCACCATCTGATTGATCATAGATTATTGTTGTTGTATAATATATTTCAATTTTTAAGTATGATTTTATGTAATTATTTTATACTGATGTACACCGCCCACAGGGGAGGGCAGTTAAAAAATCTAAATAAATAAACAAACACAAAAGTCCTTCTTTCAGTCCCCAATTATACAGAACAGATTAATGCATATGAATGGCTGAATACAACTGTTTGGTGATCCCTGGCTTGAATACAGTTAAAGATTGGCAATGTGGGTCAGGTAACACACATTACTGATTATACACTGGCTAGATATGGTTGGTGGATAACTTCCTTCCTTCTTCCCAATACATTAACCAGGAAAAATGTATCATGTGGATGACACACTTGTTGGAACAGCTAAAAAAGCTGAGTGTACTCCCTCCCAGGAGGTGACATAGTCAGACTTCTGAGATGAGTGGGAACCACATACAAGGTAGCACTGAGCATGCATAGTCTTGCTAAAGCAGCGGCTCTAGGACAGCACTACATTAGACGCAATACCATCTCTCTTTGACCAATTAATCCTGGAAGCCTACATGCACAGTTGGGTTAAACCTTCTTATCTTCTGCCTTTTCTTCTACAAGATGAACTGAAAATCTAAAACCTCATGTCCACTCTGGTTGTGCTTGAGATCTTATGTTAACTTCAGCAAAGCACTCAAGTTCATGATACCTTATTCTCATCTTAATGCTACTGTCACAAAACGTCAGAAAATTCCTTACCTTTACTCTTAGAGTTAGCTTTCACATTCAAATGTCCACTGAGGTTTGATAAAGATGCTAGTAAGCATGGTTTACTAGGATTTGGAAGAGGTTCCATAGAGACTACCATCTGAGTGGTGTGGACAGAAATCTTCTGACAACAAGAAATGTCCCTCCACAGGTTTTCTTGAGTTGAAATCTTTTGAGCTCCATCACCATGATCTTCCAAGTCAGAAATCCTGCTTTGATAACATTGGGATGTTAAGGTGTCACTCTTCTTCGGAAGGCTATCAGTTGCTGAAGCATTTTTCTCCTGGATCTCATAATCACTTTTGCTTCTGATCTTTTTCATAAATTGTTTTATTTGATCTAGTTTGACAAAGCTGAAATTGACTCTCAATGGCTTTGATATATCCACATTTATGTCAGCTGTTGGACAAATATGAAAGACATAAACAAAAAGGAAAGAATAATATATCCCATCAATAATTGCTTCATTTATTGTAAAATGAAATTTTAATTGATTTGCGTATTGTTTCTCACAATTTTAGTACTGCACAGGAAGTTTCATAATCTAGCACATTTAAAAAAATTAAGCACTGGGATGCTAATAATGTAACTCATTTTTAACAACTGAAAAATAGTTACCTATATTTAACTTTAACTTTTGCAGATTCAGGATTCTAGCCATGTTTAGGAGATCAGGAATCAGAGATCAGGAATCAATGACGAGGATGAATGGGGGCCTGGAGACCAAGCCCTATGAGGAAAGGCTGAGGGACTTGGGAATGTTTAGTCTAGAGAAGAGAAGGTTGAGGGGGGAAATGATTGCTTTCTTTAAGTATCTGAAGGGCACTTAGAGAAGGGCAGGGAGCTGTTCCTGTTGGCATAGGACTCGTAATAATGGGTTTACATTAAGGGTGTGAAGGTTCCGGCTGGATATTAGGAAAAACATTTTTTACAGTAAGAGTTGTTCAACAGTGGAATCAGCTACTTAGGGAGGTGGTGAGCTCCCCCTCACTGGCAGTCTTTAATCAGTGCCTGGATAAACACTTGTCAGGGATACTCTAGGCTGATCCTGCATTGAGCGGGGGTTGGACTAGATGGCCTCTATGGCCCCTTCCAACTTTGTGATTCTATGAATGTGCTGCAGCCCAGGCTCCGTCACCTCACCCTACATGAATTCTCCCATTTATCATGAAATCCCATTGTTCTTCAGTACCACGTATTTCCAAATAAGTATGCACAGACAGGACTGTATTCCTTATCTGATCATTAATGGGCTGGATCTAATGGCTTCCCTCCCCAACAAAAAGAATATTCCTTCAATAGAAGATTCCTTAAAGAAGAAGGGAGCCATTAAACACATCTCTATGTTTGTGTGTCTTCAGCTGACTACTATGTTAAATGAATGGATACTCAGCTTGGTTATGTTAAGGATTATCCTACTGTTACAAGACTGATTCCCTAATGTTGCAAATATACATTTCTACCTTTCCCTTCTTTTTCTTATTACTAATAAGGAGGTTTTCTTTAGAAATTGGAGACAAAAGCTGATTAAAGAAAACTCCATATCACCCATCCTGCTTTATTAGAAACATATACATTTGTCTATCAATTTTCAGTTCTAGTAATAATAATACAGAAGTCAAACAAGCTAGGCTAAGTAGATAGTTCCCTGTTTTCTACAATAAAACTTCCCACCACAAAAATTTCATCATGCTTGATAAACAAGTTCTTGGGTAGGCTTTTCTTGGCTAATTATATGTATAATTGCATAAATATTCAGACTGGAGCCTTCACAGCAAATGTTTCAACAATCACATAATGACAGAAGGATTATTTTTACACATGAGAAAAATTAGGTAATAAATTCATTTGGCATTTTTTAAGAAAAACATATGAAGCAGAAATAACATTGAGCAACTAATGTGTTTTCAGGGCACAATACTATTCCTGTGGAAATCAACAGCAAAATTTTCATTGGTTTTAATGGTGCAGGATGGAAGCGTTACATTATCTTATCCTTTTATCCACTGTAATTTGCTTTGAGAACCCCCCCCCCCCCCCCAAGTAGACAGCAGGCTGAATATAGGATTTACAGAAAACAATGCCACAAGAAGAAACAGCAGCATTTATTTCAGTTATGATTGTATATTTCTGTACTGCTTTGATTAATAAAGTTCACGTTAAAGGAATAACTGCAACCACCTTATTACCATATCAACCCTGATTACATGATGTGGAAGTACCATTATAATTTCTGTGGCACTTACTTCCATGTTATGGCCACAGTTCTAAAACACCACAGAACCCAGGTGGCATACTTAATGTTACTATTGTAGCCCCTATCCACAAAGGAGGTTGTCAGGTTGGAACAGCAGGAAGACACTGCTTTTACAAGAAAGAGATAGAGAGACTTGTTTTGGACTCTCACAAATACAAATTTCCTCTTTTTTTTTTTACTGTTAATTAATTTGCTTTCTTTATAGTACTTCTCTGGCTATTTTTTAATACTAACCTTTCTGTTACCAAAAATTTCAAATTATGTTTGTTTATTTAATAGTTTTTAATCTACTTCTCCAAAAGATTGAAGAAGAAGAGATTGGATTTATACCCCGCCCTTCACTACCCAAAGGTGTCTCAGAGCGGCTTTCAAACTCCTTTCCCTTCCCCTCCCCACAACAGACACCCTGTGAGGTAGGTGGGGCTGAGAGAGCTCTTGATAGAAACTGCTCTTTTTCAAGAACAGCTCTTATCAGAACTATGGCTTGCCCAAGGTCATCCAGCCAGGTGCAAGTGGAGGAGTGGGGAATCAAACCTGGCTCTCCCAAATTAGAGTCCGCACACTTAACCACTACACCAAACCACTACACAAACCACTACACCAAATTGAAGCAACCAACAGGTTAAAATCACAATAGTTACAATAATGATCTACAACAAACTATACTGCAAATTAAAAACAGCAGCAGAATAACACCCTTTCTCTTTCAAATGTGCTCTGAAGAATGATACAAGCAAACCTGAACAAGGGAAATGCATCCAACACCCTCTGGTACAGACTCAACTATTAATGGCTTTAATTCAGAATATCTGAGAAAGGCTTGATCCATAAGAATCTAGCACGAGTGTCAAAGTGAACAACAGAAACAACTTCCTTGGAAAGGCTAGAGTTCATATCTAAAGCTACTAATCTGAACAAGCTCAGCTGGACATTATACAATCACAGTTTAGAAAAAAAAAGTCTTCTACATCACTGTCACTGCCACCTTATACGCCTGCAAATGGGCTGTACACTCTGCCCTATTACTTCATGATGTTCAAGTCACCTTTCCATGTGATTCAAATCTGCCAAATCCTCTGTAAGGTAGTTATAAAGCAAGGGATGAGGGCATTGGACAGCAACCCTGTTTATTCCCCCAGACCAAGGGCTTGACAGACGCAATCTGAAAATCCCCCAGAGTACTCCAGGAAATTATCAGTACACACAAGTTTCCTAGGGCAGCCCATTCTAATCAATCCACCACCTATGCAAAATGGGTGATGTAATGCTAACTGGGGCACAAACAGAAGGCTTTTAATTACTGCTCACAATTTTTGAACACCTGCTAGAACACAGAACAATAAAATGGATAAAGAGATCACACAAACACATTCTCATTTATTGTACACTCCCAGATAGTGATTTAATAGTGAAAAGGCAGAGACTCACATTACAGTAATGAAATCAGAAAGGGATTTTGTATCCCAGGGGCAATTCTTCTGTTAAACACACACACACACACACACAGATCCTGTGGGAGACCAAAAATCAGAGTAAAAAAAGCCTTTCAATGATTTCTCTCCATTTTTAAAGTTCCAACTTCATTTGACTCACCAGTGATTAAATTACTTACATTTACAATGTATTTTGAAATCTGTTATAAACACTGATAGATTCAATATGCCTAGTTTTAAGAAAATCATAACATCAATAAAGAAAAATTATATTCCTCACCCTTGAGAATCCTGTCTCAAATGTCCTGCCTTTTTAATCTAATGAAATAATATACATCAGATAACTCAATGCACTGTGACCATTCTTAGCCAAGCAATACTGGATTCTTGGATTCTTTAATTCTCTTAGCACAATTCAAGAAAACATGAGAAAACTGCCATACATGTTTATGGAGACAATTCATAGGACAGTTATCCCTCTGCCCCTTTATATTATTTTTTTAGCTATCCAGACTCTGAATAAGTTTTCTGTGCACAGTTTGTGTGTGATCCAAAGCCATACTAAGTACTTCCTTTTTGGTAGTTCTTCTTACCAAATTCTAACACTTAAAAAAAATAATCTCTCCTGAGAGACTGCTCAAAAAGTCTTTAAGATTTCAGTTCCCTGACTTCTTCCTGGATTAGAAAAGTTGTTCACTTTTATCTATCAGCTTCAAAATATCAGGTTTTTGTTGTCATCCCCTAAACATATGTCCTTGGAAGTACTCGCTTGCTTACAAAGAAGTGCCCTTATAAAAGTTCAACCAAGGTTGTTTGATAAGTATGCTCCTTAAAACATTTGAAAAACTGTGCAATGGGAAAGCTTGTGTGATTTACTTATTTATTTATAGTCTGCCTTGGGGACTCAAAGTGGATTACACAGGGTGAGTCAATAGTCAACAAAATTGGACATTCAATAAACAATACATTAGGATTGTAGAAGCCTGAAACCAACTAGAAATCTAAAAGACAGAACTGAAACACAGCATAAGTATTAACATGACAAACTGTTAATTTAGCTTCTTCTATTGTTTTACTTTGGAAAGTCTTGAGTATTTATATTTTGTATCCATGATTCACCCTATAAATTTCATGCATCAGTCCCATCCTTCTTCCCTGCTGTGTCTTTAAAATTCTAGAAATGTGGACATGACTTGTATGTCATTAAAAAAATTATTCCCAGCTTTTGTGTTTAATAACAAATATTATCATAGGATCAGATCCTAAACAGCTAGAAATGGAGCAAGCTTGTAGAAAAGCCACATTCCACTCTCCAGAGCTGGTATCTGCACCACCACCTGTTTTTGAGGGTTAAGGGACTCTCAGAAACAGTGTAGGATGCAAATGGGAGGAAGTGGAAAAAAATCACATGGGGGCAATTTTCACAATATCCCTGCATAAGTAGGAATTGCCTTGACACAACAGCAGCAGGGATATTCCCTCCTGGAACATCTCCACTACAACTTGGACACATGTAAGGTTGCTTCATTATGACTATGAGGAAAGCAAAATCAGCTCCTGAACATCCATACACAGAGGCACCCAGTGTTGTCACCTCCTGCCTGGGAAAGGCAAGGAAGGGGACTTGATCAGTCTGACACTTTCGCCCCAAATTGTGGCAACTTCCTCAGGAAAGGGAAGCTGTTTTGGCCTGAAGCTCCTTGCTGCAA